TTTTCGCATCGAAGTAGCCTGTTTTGAAGCCTCTCCGAATTAAATGCGTAGAATGCGTTACTATCACCATTTTTTTTCACCTATATTTTGTTTTCTTTTTTTATACTTACGAGGGGCGAAGAGATTCAAGTGAGAGAAAGAGATTTTTCGCAGAAAACGACGACACGCGCAGAATGTACAGTATATATTTGAGAAGAATGTCTCGATATCATCCACGAGGGCGAACTAAGTGGCGGATACTCTAAGCGGTTAAATAATCCAGATGTTTATAACGTAAACGCGGGGAGGATTTCTTTCCCGCTCTCCTTATACAGTGTAATCGAACACGCGCACACGTCATTACCTGTAGGGCACGACACAACGACTATTACCGTCTCTAAGTCTTAGCGAGTTACATGGTAATTTTTAATCGAATTTTTTCCGTAAAACGACGGGGCCGAGATCCGATAGGGCGCTTGTCGGTTCGAATTCGATCCGCGTATCGAAGGGGGTGACGAATTTCTCTCCCCTATCGGCGTTTCGCTCTCTCGGAGCCGGTGCACTCAGGTATATACTTGTCGGGAGGAGTTCGGACGATTTCGCGCGGGTGAAGAGCCTGCTTCGTAGAATGAAATCCGGACGTGTCGAGGCTTCCTCTTTCCGTTGTAGGATCCGCGACGTGTGATTCTGGCCCGGCGATATATATGACTAACGTTTCGTGTTTCCAATCGGAGGCAGCGCTAACCGCAGATGCGATCCAGGACGTTCCAATATATTCCGCAATAACGAGACGATTAGATTAGGAGTGATCGCACGATGTTAAAGCCCCTGACGCCTGACACACTTTTCACACTGAGGAATATCGGCTTTATTCCCGCGTATGTACGTATGTGCGCGTGGGCGCGCGGCGTGGATTATCAGATAAGAGATTAGGGGTGGCGGCGGCGACAACTTACAAAAAAAAAAACTATCGTATGTAACTATTGATATAGGGGAGGGGAAAAAACTACGGACACAGTCGGACGCGGAAATAAGTGTTCTGCCGTACCGTAACACGCGCGCGATCTTGATGATGGTACTACTACCCTAAAAAGTTCATCACGCTTGAAGGCTAATCGAGAATCTATACATAACTGAGTGTTTTACTATTGGATTACAATATTACCTATTAATGTAAATGATACCTATTAATGTAAATGGTTTTTCATTATTACATTATTATATTATAGATGTTATACTTAATAATATATTTACAAATAATTAAGACGACCCTGTGGTTTTCAGTCTACTCCACCGTCCTCCTCTATATCCAGAAATCAGTTACGATTGAATTAAAAATTCATATTTAGTATATTTATGTATTTATCATATTTATAATTATCATTTATAAAAAGTTAATTTATAAAAGACTTCTTTAACTTAATGAATATATACTGGCATTGCATATTCATGAAATTTTTTTTTTATAATAATTTACATAAATTTTAAAAACAACGCTGTTGTGGTCGTATGGGTTGAAGAAAAGAAAGACCGAGACTTCCGACAATAAATATGTTTTATTACACATATATCTCGTACGACGATTACACGATATTAATACATTCATTTAACTGTCCAGCAATCAAACAGGTATTTTTATTTTTCTCTCCCCATCTCATCATCATATTATCAATCTATTATTACTAAATATTATTACACATCTCATTGAATCATCGCGATTTGTTATACTTGTAAATCGTCATTATATCGTCCATTTCTGTGTCTTGCACATTTTCTTCTTTAGCTCCTTTTCTCATTTCCTTTTTCTGGGGGGATTCTTTAACGAGCAACTGGCAGATTATATGTTAGAGAAGACATTTCGCTGCTCCAGCAATGTCGGTTTAGAAGTGTGACAAGTCATGATGATCCAACGAGATTTGTATGACAAAATCGTATTTTGTGGCGTTTTTTTTTATTTTTTACTTTTGTACCTGCGCACACACTCGCGAGATCCATCGAGACGAGCGACAAGAAAAAACGTTACGGAAAGAAACGAGTGCGTTTCCGCTCGTCTGCGCCGAAAAATACAATCAAAGACGCACTCGCGACTAAATAATTAAAAGATCGCCGTCTAAATACTTTCGCCAAGTTTCAAACTCGACGTCAGTGCAGAGGTACATCATCGATAACACTTTATCGTCCTTCTCTTTCTCTTCCTTCTCCTCCTCCTCGTCTTATTCCTCTCATTCTATCGCCCCGACGGCTGAAGCGAACACAATCTCGATTACGTTCATTCGCGCAGCGAGTGTTATCGTTAACATTAATTAATAAATCAGTATCTTTCTTATCGCGCTTATCATTATTATTACTGTTAATATTATGATTATTATCAATTAATTATTATTAATATTATTATTATAACCTCGTTGCTTACGCCCTAAAAACTTCGTTAAGTTAACTCTCCCCCCCCCCCCTTT